CATAAAAATTCTTATGAATTTTACTGCAACATTTACTTTAGCACTTAAACTATACGAGAGTTTAAATACCTCCTTTAATATCTCTCAAGTGATATTTTTTCAACCCTCTCATCACCAGCGCTACACATGTGTTGAAATATCTTTATTGGGCACGTTAATCATCTAATTTTACCTTTTAACTTTTTTAAAAAAAATGTATTAAATCCACTTTTTCACTTCAACGGTAATATCCTAACCCACCCACCCAATTTTCACCTTCAAAGGAACTCTAATTTGTTCTTCTCCCTCACCCCAATCAACTCAAAATCTGCTCAAGGTATGAAATTGGGACCTAATTTCTTGTTTTCTACTTGATATATCTCAAATTTTAGCTCTTCAAGCTTAAAAAAAATTTAATCTTTGAAGGAATAATTTTACTCCGTGAAAATATAAAATTCAAACTTATTCTTCAACGGTAATATCCTAACCATTACTAAAAAACTGCTAAAAAACGACGGATAAAAAAGTGACGGATGGCGTCGCTCCAAAAAGCGACGCCATTTGCCACACTGTCCGTCACTTCTTTGAAAAATAATTATTTTTTAAATTATTTTACAAAAAGCGACAGACGGCATCTCTTAGTCCGTCACTATTTTCCGTGATTTTTTGCGCCAAATAAATATATAATTAATAATTATTTATTTAATATAAATAGCGACGCCATCCGTCGCTTTTATTAAAAATAATTATATATAAATTAAAAAATAACCACGCTATCTGTCGCTAATTAATTTATTTAATTTTATTAATTATTTTTTTATAAAAGCGACGGACGACATCTTTAAGTCTGTTGCTTATTGGTCAAAATATATGGTCAATTATTTTTAAAAAGCGACGGACAATGTCTCTTAGTCCGTCGCATTTTGGTCAAAATATTGGTCAACTATTTTTTTTTAAAAGTGACGGACATAGACACGCTATCCGTCACTTTTTATTAAATATCCGAAAGATAGACGGGAATTTTTCCCCATTTCCCCATTTTCCCATTTTCAAAATACCTCATTCTCTCTTCTTTCTCTCCACTCCGGCGTCCACCGTCCGTCGTTCCGTCGTACCTCTTCGCCGGTGCTCGCAAGCAGTAGCTTGGAGGAGCTTCCGTCGCCGCCTCCTCCTCCTTCCCCTCTCTCTTCATTCCCTCCTTTCCCTTTAAGGTTAGGGTTTAATTTATCAACAAAAAAAATAATCAATTTGAGCTATATTTGATTTTGTTAGTTATTTAATTATAATTTTTTTATTGAATTTGTGTTTATTGATTGTTAGTTTGAATTTGGGATTATTAGTTAGTGAGTGAATTGAGATTTTTAATGTTAGGGTTAGTTTGAATTAGGGTATCTTAGGATTTGTTTGAATTTTGGTATTTCTTGAGTTAATTAGTCTGGTTTTGGATTTTAGGACTAGTTTGAATTAGGGTATTTAAGGACTTGTTTCAATTTGGGTATTATTTGAGTTAGTTTGATTTTCGAATTTTAGGACTAACTAGGCTTGAATTATATTTGAGATTTTAGGACTAATAGTTTGAATTTGGGATTAGGACTAGCTAGTTTGAATTTGGTATTTTAGCACTATTTGATTTTGAAATTTTAGGACTAGTTTGAATTTGTGATTGTAAGACTAGTTTGAATTTAATTTGAATTTTGGGACTAGTTTGAATTATATTTGAGATTTTAGGACTAATAGTTTGAATTTGGAATTTTTAGGACTAGCTAGTTTGAATTTGAAATTTTAGCACTAATTTGATTTTGGGATTTTAGGACTAGTTTGAATTTGTGATTTTAAAACTAGTTTGAATTTGAAATTTAGGACTTGATTGAATTATATTTGAGATTCTAGGACTAATAGTTTGAATTTGAAATTTAGGACTTGATTGAATTATATTTGAGATTCTAGGACTAATAGTTTGAATTTGAAATTTAGGACTTGATTGAATTATATTTGAGATTCTAGGACTAATAGTTTGAATTTGGAATTTTAGGACTAGCTAGTTTGAATTTGAGATTTTAGGGATTTGAATTATAACTTAATTAGAACTTATAATTAATTATAACTTGAATTTACTATAACTTGAACTTAATTAGGAATATTAACTTGAAATCTTGTTGACCTTAATTAATTAGAACTTAATTAATTTATAATAACTTGAAAAGTTAATTAGGAATATAAACTTAACTTTGAACTTAACAAGAACTTGAACTTAATTTGAACTTAATTAATTAGTATTCATTAATTAATTAAGCTTTAACTTTTGTAGATCTTGAAATGTAGTATTTATATTAACAATATAAATTAGCTTAATGTAGTAAAATTATTATTAAATTTAATTTATAATATAATTGAATATCTATATTTTTATAGATGGATCATCATTTGTGGATGTATAATATGCATTATGAAATCGGTGTTGGTTTGAAACCTAAGTTTATTGACGGTGTTAGAGATTTTATTGAACAAACAATGACATTTGATATTTTCAAGAATAATGGATTGGTCAGGTGTCCTTGTAATGGATGTAGGTGCTTAAAATTTTTTGAACCAGATACAGTCATGGTTCAATTTTTAGTTAAGTTTAATAATTTTAATATACTTTACTTTTTTTAATTATCTAACAATATTCATTTTTTTCAGACTATGTGTACTTGAGAACCGAGGTTTAATATGGTCATTGCGATCACATTAGAGAGAAGGCATCCGCCAGACTGTCTAGCTGGCTAAAGAAAGTTTGGGATACTAATTAGTGTCCGAGTTGAATGTTGCCTCATGTGTTTGATGAATTGCACCAATATTGGAACATAGATAAGTTCAAGGCGATGTCCAAACAAGCCAAAAAGGCTAGAGGCAGTATTAAGGGTGGCTCATTGCATACTGGAGGTGCAAAGAGCGTTGGAACAATTACAAGAGAGATGATAAGTTCTAACTCAAACTTTTAAATAAATAATTAGTTGATTAATATCGTTATAATATAAATTTCATTTTTATTTATAGGAAAAAGAAATGGGGCATACTCCCCTTGTACCAGAGGTTTTCAAGAAGACTATGTGAAGAAGAAAGAAAATGAGTCAAATTCGGATATGTGGGTGGAGGAAAGGGCAGAACGAACTTTTGTAAGTTATTTAATTAATATTAATAATGAATATATATATATATATATATAATGCTAATTTTTATTTTTATTATACAGAGTGAATATCACCAGTACGTGTCCAAATGACACCTGAAAGGTCAAATGTACTTGTTCAGGTCAGATCTACTTTTGATCATTTTTCTCTTTGAAAAATAGAATATTACCTACTATGTCTTTCACCGGGTGAGCAAAAAGTTACCTTTAGCCCAGTCTGCCTTACTTAACTAGAGAGCAGATGTTGAAGGGGAAAACCGGGCTTTCACCTCAGGCTTGAGCCTGTAAAGGTATAAGAGTTAGCGAACCAAGAGAAAAAATTCCTTGATATAATAAAGAATTGTCCAGTCAAATTTGGACAGAAAAAATGGTAGGGGAGACATACAAGGGTAGAGTCTATGGTCGAGGCTCTCGAAATGATGTACGACGACTCGTGTCAGGCTTAGAAGGTATTGGATCGTTACATCAAGCCGAGGCAATTGACGGTGTTCGGATCGCTGCTATGTCGGCACAGATAGAAAAACTAACAGCAGCACTGCAAGAGTCTGAGCGAAAAAGAGTAGTTGAACAAGAAAACATGAGTGTGACAGTTCAGCAAATCAAAGAACAAGTGTTGAACCTTGCTCGTCGACCTACATCTACATCGTCTCCTGTCGAGGGCTGACGACGACAGTAAGGAGGAGGATGTTTATATAGACTGCACTCCTTGATTATCTTTTATAGCTTTAGTTTATGAACTCTTTTTTAATTTTGAATCAAATTTTGAATGACTTTATATGTTTTTGTATTGTGATTTAGATATTTTTAAAGATTGATTTAATTTTGTTGTTTTATATCTTGTGTGGGATGTTTAGATTGTATTTTGTTTGATTGGGCTGGTTAAAATTGAATTGAATTGATTTATATTTGCAGGTGGGCAGCATATCAAAAATATGCAGAAAAAAGTGACGGACAGGGTGGTTTCGTCCGTTGCTTTTTTGCATTAAATTTTTCAAATAAACCCAGAAAAGCAACGGACAGGGTCCTTTAAACCGTCGCTTTTTTGGGTTTTTCAAAAAATTAATTTCCAGAAAAGCGACAGACAGGGTCCTTTAGTCTATCGCTTTTCTGGGATTTTCAAAATTTAAATTTCCAAAAAAGCGACGGATTGCATCGCTTTTTGAAAATTTAAAAAATGAAAATATAAAAAAAGAAACGCTGTCCGTCGCTTTCCTGAAAAAAAATAATCAGAAAGCGACGCAGTCCATCTTTTTTTTGCGACGTTGTCCGTCGCTTTTTGAAAAGCGTCAACCCAAAAAGCGGTGTATGATTGCGTCGCTTTTCCGGCGAATTTGACCAAAAAAGCGACGCAGACCGTCGTTTTTTCGGCAGTTTTTTAGTAGTGAACCCACCCACCCAATTTTCCCCTTCAAAGGAACCCTAATAATTTCTCTGTGAAAAGGTAAAATTCAAACTTATTCTTCTTCATTTATTATTATGATTTTTGTTTCCTTTACTGTCAGTTTTTTCAATTCAATTAATACTATTTTTGGGATAAACAAAATTGTTATCTAAAATTACTTGTCAAATAACTAAAGAAAAATATAATTAATTATTTTTTCTCATTTTACCTTAACAGTTAATTGTTTTTAGACGTGTAAACAAGATTTGTAAAGTTGCAAAATAATTTTTCAAGGAGTAACTATTAAAACTGTCATTTTATTTGTAATTTCTTGAAGGACATGTAAAAGGAAAAATGGACAACTAATATGAAAAATGAAAACTAACTTAAAAAAAGAAGAGAGGGAGAACCAAAGGAAAAAAGCTTAAAAGGGAGAGATGTTCTAAAAGTACTTTACTCTTTCAGAGCTTATTGGTATATTCTTTTGCCCTTATCTCATTGGCTAAAGGAAAACATTCTGTTAGAATGTTCCTCTACTCTACTTGATTGGTTGTATCTATAAAGATTCAATCCACACAACTAATTGTCTACACTACCTAACACTAACTATATCTCAAGCCACCCCTACACAAAATGGGATGGAGTAAAAGAAAATGTGTTATGGAAATTTCACAGATGACGCGAAAATGTACAGCACAAGAAATCGGGACACAAGTTACCAACTGTACAGTAACTAATCTTCTATGCGTTGTATCTCACCCATCATGATGCGATTGCTTGTAACCTTGAAACCAAGAAGAGCAGGATCAATTTGTCTTCCTTTCTTTCCTTTCTTCTTACCACTACGGTGTGTTGCATCCAATGCCTCTGATGCATGTGCTTCCTGAGCTGTTGGCTTCTTAGCATTACTCTTAAGCATGTCACTGAATGATGTCTCTGAAACATCAGCATCACTACAAGATGCAGTTCGTCGGAAGCGCCCGTCTTTCTTGTCAGACGTCATAGCACTGGGAACTTGATTTGCTGCATTACCTCCAGCTTCCCTCTTACCCCCTAGTGACAGAATTCATAAAAGGATGGGTTAGCAATTAGGATGGATAGAATGAGTGTGGTGCAAGGGGATTGGCAATTAACTCTTACAAGCCATAAAGGAAGAGCAGACATCAAATTAGCTACTCCCTCCGTTCCAATTTATGTAACAACCAGGCATGGAGTTCAAGAAGGAAATGAAGACTTTTAAAACTTAATGATTTAAATTAAGTCATAGATATTTGTAGCTAGAAATCATCTCATTAAGGGTAAAATGGGAAGTTCAAAGTGTTACTAAAAAGAGAAAGAATCATTATTTTGGACAGACCAAAAAGGAGTATCACATAAATTGGGACACAGGGAGTAGTATATTTCTCACATCTTCAAGGTGCAAAATATCTAGCAAATATAGAAATATCAAGACAAAATAGTAAACAGTGATAGCAACAAAAAGGAGAAAGACATCCTACCTTCAGAAGCCATGGCATCTGAAGGATTTTTGCCTCTCACTAGGCTATCAGAAGTTGTCTCAGATAGACCCTCCTGGGTTGAAGAAACGCGCAATTCAGGTGGGTGCTTCGGCAAGATGTTATCTGACCTTTTTGATGTCACAGCCATCCTACCCAAATAGAAACAAAATTCAGATGCATATCAGGAAAGCAAAATCACAACATAATCTTCATTGAGGGAAGGAGCTAGTCCTATATACAGGATGGTAAAACTCTTCCGTGACTTATACAAGAAAAAACACTGATTAAAGAAAATATTAACCATTGAAAGGAAAAAGAAGAGGAACAGAACTTTTTGAGCAAGGAAGAAGTAGCACCATGTAAAAGTTACAATCAGACATATTAGCATAACACGGTTTTACAAGATTAAAACACAACTCGTTGAGTTATCAAAGGCATGCTTAATCCCTGAAGCGAGGCTCAGAACGCGTTGAGCACTTCGCCTTGCTTAATGTGCGGTTCAGTGTCGTGATCAAGGCTCTAAGACATACTTTTCTTTGTGAATGAGCATTTCCTGAAGAGGCGATGCTAAACCATTGATATTTCACTTTATCATAAAAACAAAAATACGACGTATAATTATCAGTAAAATAATGTAGGCAAGTGAAATATCATAGCTAAACGTTCAGTACTCTAAAGCAAAAAAGTTTCTTAGTAAGCCAATCTACTTCTATAACTAGAGTACATTCTTTCTGTAATAGAAACTTGGCAATAAATTCTACACTCCAGGAATTATAAGTAGTGATTTCTTCTTTCAAAAATTTTTATATGAATAAAATTGTTGCAGCTACTGAAGCACAAACTTTACTTGATTTCCCAAACTACCAACTACACCCATGAGAATGACATACATAAAAATAAGTCCTTTCCAGGAAGAAACAGAGATAGCACATACCGTTCCTTAGGAATTTCCTCTGTAGCCGAATCCCTTCTATCACTCTTGTCATTGTAAAAGTCAAGACTTCCACCTGAAGATGATTTAAAAACATTACAATCTTTCAAACAATAAAACCTTCTTTTAATAAGATTGATATACAAGCACAGACGCACATATATAAGCATTCAATATAATACACAACATATGTGTGTGTAATTGTGTATATATAGAGAGAGTAACCTCCAGTACCAAGTGAAGTGTGCCTGCTGAGCAAGTTAATTGGCATTTCCCCTTCTACAGTCGGCACACCAGTTTGCCTAACGATACTTTCGCGAGCCTCTAAATGTACCTACAGATAATCATCATGACATGTAAGAGTGTATCTTCATTGCCAACACATATAAGATGTAGGTCTGGGATCTTGTAAATTACCTGAGAGGCTTCATTGATGCTGGAAAAGACAGGTTGAGCTTCAGCTAAAGCTCCAGAATGAGATTTGAAGGGAAATCTCTCACAAGCATCAAGACTATCGGCAATCTCATTTACATGATCTCTCTGTGGTGGAAAACCTGAATTAGAACCATATGACCCAACAGTGATAGCTTGGTTTAGACTCATATCCTGGTCCAAAAGAGGGTTGAATGAACGGTTTGAAGCATTTGTCGTAGAAAAGTGACCGGAGTGAAAGCCCCTCTCAAACAAAATCCCTCTGGTCATTTCTGCTTGATCAGTTGACTGCTGACCAGATTTTTGCTGGAGCAGTTCCATAAGTAATCGCTTTGAACTGTCATCATTAGCACCAGCTGACATCCACATACTTTGATCTTCAGAAGCCCTTTTGACATCAAAATCCCTTCTTTGTCTCTCACCATTGAGATGTAGTTGCTGCATCCTAGTTTCCATCCAATCAGCTGGTAACTGACCATTTCTTTCAGACCAATGATTTTCCATTGTATCTCCATTTGGAGCATGAAACTGATTTGAAAATAGAGGACGGTGAGGAGATTGCAAGTGGATGCCAGTCGAGAAACCAGGCATGTGACCAGCTGAGTGCATTCTTGAATTTGGATCTTGCATTTCTAAACCTTGTGCGCGCACTAGAGGATTTATGGCATCCAAATTAACACCAGGACCACCACCAGGTACTGACATCGTCCGTTCCAAAGGCAGAAATCCAGTGTCATAGAGACCCCGCTGAAGTCTATCCTGCATTGACAAATTCCTTTCCAGATGACTAACATGCTCTTCCGGAGGGGGTATCTGTTGCTGTTGGTAAATATCTAATGGACCAAATCCAGAGTTTGCTCGACGAGCAACACCTGGATTTCTTAGATACTGACCAGTTTCATCAGCAGGCCAGACAGCACCAATCTGTCTGTCTTCCTCCATTTCCAAACGTTGTCTTAACCTCTCATGTGCTTGTTCTTGTTGAAGGGCTTGATGCTCCAAAGGATGCAACTGTCCATGTTTTGCCCGTGATAGGAGCTCCATTAAATCACTTTGAGGCCCTTGATGTGGTATTTGACCAAACTTTGCTTGAATGAGATGCTCAATAGATGGTTCAGCATGTCTTGGTGGAAGATGTGGACGCTGTTGCAGTTCACTCAGAATTTGTTGCTCTATCAACACCTGCTCCAGAGCACTGCTATGCCTAATAGCATCAAGACGTGATTGTGTGTAACTTGGTTCACGTACTTGTCTCTGCAATAATTGTTCGAGAACCAGCTGCCTAGCATGGGACTCTTGTTCTTTCATTAGCATTTGCTGTTGATGGAACTGTTGTTGTTGCTGCAGTTGTTGAAGCTGCAACTGTCTCTGCTGTTGCAGCTGAAGCGCCATAAAGTGTTCCAGATCCTGCCCAGTCTGACTCGCCAACTGTGGTTGGTGTATTGAATTATGATTTGTGCCACGTTCCATCATAGCTTCATTTAAGTGACTATTATGAGAGGATATCAAATTATGAGGATGCTGTTGCTGAAGTTGTTGGGAAAACAGTTTGTCTGCCAACTCAAACCGGTTCAGTTCATGGTCCTGGTGCAACAAGCAGCTGGCATCCATAGCTTCTTGATATATGTTGGGTTCAGATCCAGCATTTCTTCTATAAGCATCAGTCCATGTCTCCAGAGCAGAGGTTGAGTCCGTCTTGGCACCAAATGGCCCAACCCTCGCAGCACCAGAGTTTAGAACTTGATCCTGGCCACTTCCTCTAAAAGGAGCATCTGAGATAGGACCACTCTTTCCTGCAGTACCTTCAAGCTCTGACCATAATAAGCCAAGTGGGTGCAATGTCTGTTCATGATTTGGAACTCCACCCTCACACATTGTGCTTGGAGTTGCACGGTGGATATTTGAAGGATCAGTAAGGCCTGTGGAAGTTTTTCCAATAGCATTGCCACCGCTTCCAGGTCTTCCTGGAAACACAATTTCTGCAAATATAGATGGAAACTTAAAAATTAAATAGCAAAATAACAGATAAAGGTCAACCACATTAAATATCAATGGCCATGACCTTAATGGCCTATATGCAGGGAAAGAGGCCAGATTCCCACCTCCAAAGCCACAGGAGGCTATGCATTCAGCTAAATATGCTAACTCACCTTCATCTTGAGCAACAAAATTGTTAAAGTCTTCACTATGTGAATATGGAGGTTTAAATTGACGAGCTGGATGATCAGGTATTGACTGAATATGAAGTCCACCAAGGCCATCACAATCAGATGGCGGCCAGCTCGAGCCATCAAAGGCAGCAGAACCAACCATCTCAGAAACAGAAGCTGAGCTACGTAAACCAGAATCCAACTTCCCCTCTAGTACAGCAGATGGTTCTGCCTGGGAAAGATTGGTGTTACCAACATGCTCATGTTCAAATTTCAAATGCGGCATTACATCACAAAGTTCAAAGAAAGGTGAATCTTCAGGGGCATCTTCCAAGCGAACTAGTAAGTCCATACCAAAAAATCCCTGATCAAACCATGAAATGATGTCAGCTCCGAGAAATGGCCCCTGGATTTCGCCCTGAGGATCACGATAGTACAAACTCAACTCCTCTGGTGGAATACCCCTTCCTAGAAGGTTGTTCCAATAATTTTCAGAAGAGGACTTCACAAATACAGAATTTGAATCATCAGACACCTTCAAACTGCCATCAAAAGCAACATGTTGATTGTTCTCAAAGATAGGTGTCCTGGTTACTCCGGAATCTGGTAAGCTCTGCACAGAAATATCAGATTGGGACCCACTAATGTAGTTAAGGCAGTCACTATTGTCAGTTCTCTTCCTGGTAAACAAACTTCCATCTGCAGCAATAGCTTCAGAAACATTGTCTTTCAGTCCTTCATGATTATCTCCTCCTGAATCACAAACAAGTTCCTTTGTCAGAAGTCAACAGAAAAATCAACCTTGATGAGAAGAGCTGATTTAAATAGAGGTAATAATTTACTCACCATCACACTTGACCTTGACACCGTTCTCGTAAACAAAGCTATAGGTATTGGCTTCTTCAACACCTATTGAAGTTTTCAATAATCTATCAACTGTCTCTTCAGTGACATCAGCGAAGGGAGCACCCATTTTTGTATTGTTGGGCTCTGTATCCCCTGTTTCTGGAAGATATAAAAGCAAATTCAGAGAGAATCTCTTATCATACTCCAACAAAAAGACAAAGGATAGGGATGGGAGTAGCAGTCAGTACCGCATCCAGACATAGTGTTCAAGAAACAATTACCTGTGACATTATCCATTGATTGACCCTTTCTAAAAGAATTGTGAGAAACACCACCACCGGTAATTTTACCCTTCCATATATCATTGAGAACAGCCTATAATAAGATTGATCAAGCAACTTTATGGTATCAAATATTTTTTGAACACTTAGAAAACCTACAATTCTGAACAAATGAAGTAATTGATGTAGCTCACCTCTTCCTCAGCATCAGGAACAACAAAAGCTAATGGTTCAATAGCAATTACTTGGGTAACTGGGGGAACTTCTTCCATATTTTCAGGCATGCTACAAAGAGATGAGCCAAGCTTTTGCCTGCGGTATATGTCAAGAGTTTTCCCCCGTGGATAACTGAATATGCCAGTCGAGATTCTTGATTTTCCAGCGACAGAATTCTCAAATGGTGAAGCACCAATTGCACCCCCAGAGGAAGGTCTTATAATAGTCCCAGTAGACCTCCCACGACCCAAGTTAAATCCCACATTTGACCCTTCTACTTTTCCTCTCTCCTGTCCAAAACCTGGAGCAGCTCGATAGGAACTTGGAGCAGCAGAGTTGCCCTCCATTTTATAGCGTGGACGCCACTTGTCACGAGAATCTGACTCCCGTTCTGAGACAGTACGGTTAGCCACAAATGTTTGACCATCATTATGAACATCTTCCTTATCTACATCTATCCTTTTCTCACTGCGATTTTCTTTTTCTTTGTCATCAGGACCCCACCTAGAAGACCACTTGTTATCACGCCTTGTATCAAGCCCAGAATTGCGGTTATTAACATCATGCTCAGCACGGCGATCGGTTTTCCTTCGTTCTCTCCGACCAAGCAAGCCAGTTTCCCTTTCTTCCTCACGCCACCGGCGACTGCTCTCAGTCTCCACTGTCGTTCTTCTCCAATCCTTCTTGTCGTCAGGTACATCTGTACGCCAAGCCTCCTTCTGACTTGAATCAACAGAACTTCCAAGTGACAGAGAGCTTGGTGGACGCGGTTCCTATGATGAATAAAACCCAGTAGAAAACATTTTACTAGAAACTTCAAGCAGTAAAAAAGAAATATGGGCATGTGTAACATCTGAACATCTGGCATTTGAGATATATATATATATATAGAGAGAGAGAGAGGGGAATGGAAATCCAACTCTCAAAAAGATTACAGGCAAATAAAGCAAAATTTTCTTCAGTTCTGCTTAACATTGCAACAGAAATCGGTAACAGACACTTCAAGAATTTCATACGTATAAAGTCTAGGAGGAAATAATGCTACAACGTGACCGAACTCAGTTGAAGTTTAAAGGAAAAGTGTTTTTGGGGTGTTTCAAGGTATCTTTTTTTGTTTAGATCAATAAGAGGAGCTTGAATCGACAGTGACTTTCTAAATCTCAGTTTTAAGACGTAGATCTGTTATGAAGCCACAAGTAATGGATGACATGCATGACAGAAGTATTTCCTCTGTGGTCATGGGCGGTAAATACCATATAAAATCACAGGATTAACAAACAAAAACTGTTATGCTTAGTGTGATCCTTCAAAGGGGTGAAACTTTCCGTCTAAAGCAGACCACACACACTTAGTCAACACATATGGGTACTAAAAGATCAAAGTCAATATCTTTGTTATGTCTAATATGGTTAAATGCCGACACCGACAAGATTTCACGAAGACTGTCTAATTCAACAAGAGAACACTTCATTCTCAAGGGTTCCCTATATTTATACTTAGAAAGGGGAATCTCCGGATGGAACAAACCAATTCCTTTTTAGTTTTGACTAATAAGGACAATTCATCATACCATGCAAAGCGAAGCCCGGAATTTAAGTGGAGAAGGGTAGAGGGGCGGGCCCATTATCCACCGAGTTTAGAAGGCTGTGATTGGTCCAAAGAGCGGGTCACAGACGGATTTCTCGGTTATCAAGGGAAAAAAAATACAATTCATCATACCATACACAAAGCAAGTAAAAAGTTTCAATCATGTACAAAAAAAAACATTTTTATAGTTGACAATGACTTTATATGATCTATTGAGTTTGAGATGATGTTGTAACTGCAAGAGGGAGGGGATATTATACATCCATATCTCGACTGGTCTGACGAGAATTTGTCTCAAACTTATGAGTATAGTTTGTATGATGGAATTATCCATTGATGAGTATAAATCAGCTAGTCTGAAAAGTAAGCAAACTCACCATCTTTGTGTCACTTGATTTAACATAAAGCCACTGTGGAGACAAAGGAATGCTGCTGTCCACCATTGCTTGATCTAAAGCAAGGTCAAGGAGAATTACAAGTGAATGTAAAAAGTATATATCAGAAGAAGATCCAGAGTCCGCATGTAATCAAAAATTAAAAAAAATGAAAGAGAAATACCTTTGGAAATATCAAGCTGACCCATGAAAGGCTTGTTGTCATCATTACCTGCAAGCAGATGTTTGTTAGCAACTGTAAAACATGACAAAGTGGGAGCAAAAGTAAATAAATAAATAAATAAGAAAATCTAGTTGCAGCTACTTGTAGATCCAAACACTGGAAGAAGGTGAGAAAATCAACAACTTCCTAATGTAAAATAAATGTTGACAAGCATCAATCCCTCGTCAATTAAGATTGACCAGAAGACTGGCCGCTACAGTGTATTTTGAGTTGGCAATAGAACAATTGGATAGACTGAAATGTCAAAGAAAGCAAATCCAGAGAACCAAATACAGATAAAGAGGATACCTGATCTGAAGCCCTAGAATTTACTAAATTGAAGATTCAAAAATAAGCCCTAAACTAATTGTAAATCAAAATTAAAGAAACTATAGAGCACCTTTGGAGTGATCGGAAGTCTTAGAGGAAAGAAGATCGTCAGGAAGATCAAGATTTCCTTCTGCCATGGCCTTGTCGAGATAGAGGAACGATACAGAAAAATCAATCGGAGAAAAAGGGGAGAGAGTGAAATGGAAGAGTCAAATGAGAGTGAATGTGGATTTGAAGACCGAAGCACAAGCCAGAGAGAGTTTTAGGGTTCCGAGAGCTATTGATGAGAACTGTTGCAGAGAGAAAGAGAGAGATGCGCGAGTCGGGAACAGGTGACGGAGAAGAAAAGGCTGAGGGTTTGGGTGGTCACTAGAGCCAAATCATCTTCTCGAAAACCAAAAATTAAAATAAACGAATTTTTAGACAAAATTATCCTTTTTAACTCTATTTTGGTCATTCAAATAAATTCTTTAAATTTACTTACCACAATATGCTCTTATGGTAACAATACATTCACCTCGAGTCCGATGTACAAGTAGTTGTGTGTATTAGATCGGGTACCACATTGATACGATACATGAACACCAACATAATTAAAAACTTTTTATCGTGTGTACATATGAGATTGATAGATTATATAACATTGTACAATAGTGAGATTGGTAGGGTATATGAACTCCTTGGTCATGCTACTATTTGATGATCCTAAGTAAAATTATTGTGAGACATTGGTATGTCCAAGGTTACTAGCGTGTTTGAAATGCATGTCCATCTTATTTGACTAGGTGTAAAACAAAAAATTATTTTGAAATTCCTAAGGGTAGGGGTTCTTATTTCCATTTCAAGAAGGTTTTACGTAATTGAAATGTCCGCTAACACGCAATTATCCAACGACTTGAAAACTTGATGACTAACTTTGGAAAAATATTTGAAGGAAAATATATTTAAAGTCATTTAGAAAACATAATAATTTAAGATACTTGAAATAATTTAAAGAGAGTTTTGTCAAAAAAATGACCAAGTAAAGAAAGACAATTAAATAAATCACTTAAATAGAAAAATTCATTATACCAAAAGATGATTTGTCGATTTAATTAAGTTAATCTAAAAGTATAAGTTGGAATTAAATACAATCAAAAGAAATATACAATAATAAGAGAGAGATAAATTTGGGCTTCTGTCCAAATTCAGAGTATTGGGCTAACAAGTTCACTCTATCTTTCTGTCTTAATTCTAAGTAATTCAGTCTTTTAAGACACTTCATTTTGGACCTAGCCCAATTTTGTTGTATCATTATGTATATAATTACTATATACTTGTTGTATATATTGTATATTGGACGTATATTGATTGTATACAACGCTTGTTTATGTATATTAGCTTATGTTTGCCTAGTATATCAGTTTCTGTTTTCCCATACAAACACGAGGCCGACTCGATAAAGAAAATTAAGACTCTATGACTCAACTCGAAAATGTAAAGAAAAAAAGAAGTCCACAAGACACTCGGATAGACATCACATGCAAACAAGGGGATATAGATTAACATATAATTCAACTAAAATAAACAAAGAAAATAATAAAAGACATGTTGAAAGCACACAATTTTAAAAGAGTAATTGAAAGAGAGCAATGATCATTCGATCCATAATGAAGTAACATGGAAACTGGTAACATGCATATACGTAAAAAAAAATAGAGGAAAAAGAGCAAAATTGGTCATTATCATATATTCAAGTAACTAAAAGACATGGAATTAACATATATATATATATATATATACTAGATAGGCAATGCCCTACATATTTAAATTTGATATATGTTTTTCTCGTTGGTTTGATGTAGTTTACATAATAATAATAGTAATAATATAGTTAAAGCAGTTGATACTTTGACCGAATGTCTCTATAAACATGAGTAAAGTATGATGTTATCATGTACATGATAAGTTCTTGGGTACTTTTATATTAATATTGACCTTTGTGATTTCTCCATCGTACAATAAAATCAAGCAAGCATGGATTCATATTGAAGGATAAAATAGACAATAGTGATCAATAGTATAAGTATTTATATTACAGTAAACACATATGAAGTCTGATGAATAAAACATTATAGATATATGAACATTGTGTGGGGTACAAAAGAGCAAAATCATACCATGGTGGTCATAAGGTTCTCGTCACACATCATTGGCTAGAACATATTTGCCATTTCAAATTGTTGACGTAATCGAAAGATAAACTATATTTTGAATACTATTATTTGATTCATGATAATTACAAGTATATGATTTGCATCATAAGTACACAAAAGTATAGAAATCTATTTGAGTCTGCCTTCAGTCTTTTGCTATCTCAAATAGGCTAGTCTTCTATTGTTTTTCTTCTTTCCATAGTTCAAACCCTTGTAGCATAAATACATTCCTCTTCTTGTGTACACAGGTATGGCATAATTTTCTTTAAATAGAAACATTGTATATGAACTTGTATATTAGTATACATAAAAGCAGTTGTATATCTATGTAGATAGGTAAAGGCACTTGTATATTTGTAATGATAAAGACAATTGTAATATCCAAATCTTGTATGATAATAAAAGAAGATCCTCATGTCACAAACACTCTCCCTAGGGCTACATTGTTATGTCAACTACACTAAAAGATAAAAATAAAATAACAAAGATCATATTGTATATTAGTATACATAAAAGCAGTTGTATATTTGTGTAGATACAATAGTATAGGTAAAGACACTTGTATATTTGTAATGATAAAAACAATTGTAATATCCTAACCTAGTATATAATAATAAAAGATGATCCTCCTGTCACAAACACACTCCCTAGGGCTACATTGTTATGTCAACTGAGCTGAAAGCGCTTTCAATCTTCAGAAAGATCATATCTCTCATACATACAATATTCTCTTTTCCTTTTTTTTTGTATGGGATGTTTTTTTCCTTCCCTCTTTTTCTTTCTGATGTTCTAATAGGTAATATCTCAACTTGAAATATAAAGAACCATCACAAATTTGCGAGACAATAAAACACCACTAAAAAAAATAGAACTTCTCCCTCAGTTGAGATGGAGAAACATAAACAAGTAAGAAGAACTTGTCCATTCAAAATAAACAAAATATAGAGTTAAAGATTCTAATAACTTTGCATGGATAATTTCAGAGAAATTATTTCAAATACCAAGGCCTTGTAAAGTAAAGTAGTACTCCACATATCGAAAATTATTAAGTAGACTCTCAAGTGATTAATTTCAAGTATTATTGCAATTTGTATAAGTTCAATCATAATGTCGCAATATAATGTAGATTACATTCTCCATGATCTTTTGGACAAAACCGTGCAACTTGTTCTTCCTTATGGATTGAAAAATTAACCTAGAAGAAGAAAAACTAAAGCAAATGAATCACTGACTTTTGGATAGAGAGCATATGAAAAATTATATCACTTGCAATAGACCACGTTAAGTAAAAAAGAAGTAATTAATTATTTTTTTATTCATACATGGTGCATGCTAATGATAAATGCATATAAAAAAAGATTAGTTCAAGCATTATTCATCAAATAGCTTGGGTGCACTGTATGCTTCTTGTAAACATGAGCTATAGTCATCAGTTGAGTATCAACTTTTTGTCATTCTAAATATCACAACATATATAGAAAGATGTTTTGGAGCACCTCCATAAAACAAGTAAACACACCAATCGTAAATTAAAAGAAACTGAAATTGAAAGGATGTTGAAAAAAAAAGATATTAATAAGTCATAAGGCACATATATAACATCTCAATTGGTTGATCTATATGTGATTCAACTAATGTAAAGTACTATTATTTGATATATTGAGTAGAAAATTATCCTCGTGAAAGTTGGATTGCTTTAAGTAAACTTTTTGGCAACCAACAAATATACTAAGATTTCAATTTAGTGCTAAATTGTTTTTGTAGCAACATGTGTTGTAATTGATAAGGGATAGTTGGTCTTCCTTTCTTATGTTAGAAAAAAAAATATAGTAAGGGGAAACTTCAATACTCGTAGAATGCAGTCAGAGCAAGATAACATAGTTGGATGTATTTTGGAACAATTAGAACTCATATACCACCTCCCATATATTGTTCCATTAAATAATTAGAGGTTTAGAATAAATAGTGATCTTCATGTTCATTTCTGGAGTTGTTTAATACTCAATAATTTGTCCTATGTGATTAAGGTAAGACTTGTTTGAAGTAAGTTCTAGAAAAATGGCATATTGTGCTTTACCAGTAAATCTAAAATAGTGTGATAAAAAACTTAATTACAAATTAACTTATCAATTCTTCTAAATTATTCATACATTAATTACCACCATTATAAAATGTCTTTGTATTTTGCACCAAGTCATGACCAGTAGACGTTTAAAACAAAAATAATAATGAAGTAAATCAAAAAAACAATTAACAAAAGAATTCGAGCCTTCACCAGAAAAATTCCTTGATCAATTTATTTTAGATCGCACGGATATTCATTATCAGAAAATCATCCATATGTACGTACGAATACTAAACATGTTTTTCTAAAGATCTTATCTTAACTTACATTGCTGTCAGTGTATGTTTGAAAATAAGTTAGCCCTATAAATGTAGTCATTATGTAAGTTGCTCTTAAATAAATCACTTAAATAGAAAAATTCATTATACCAAAAGATGATTTGTCGATTTAATTAAGTTAATCTAAAAGTATAAGTTGGAATTAAATACAATCAAAAGAAATATACAATAATAAGAGAGAGATAAATTTGGGCTTCTGTCCAATTCAGAGTATTGGGCTAACAAGTTCATTCTTTCTTTTTGTCCTAATTCTAAGTAATTCAGTCTTTAAAGACACTTCATTTTGGGCCTAGCCCAATTTTGTTGTATCATTATGTATATAATTACTATATACTTGTTGTATATATTGTATAATGGACGTATATTGATTGTATACAACACTTGTTTATGTATATTAGCTTATGTTTGCCTTGTATATCAGTTCCTGTTTTCCCATACAAACACGAGGCCGACTCAATAAAGAAAATTAAGACTGTATGACTCAACTCAAAAATGTAAAGAAAAAAAGAAGTCCACAAGACACTCGGATAGACATCACATGCAAACAAGGGGATATAGATTAACATATAATTCAACTAAAATAAACAAAGAAAAAAATAAAAAACATGTTGAAAGCACACAATTTTAAAAGAGTAATTGAAAGAGAGCAATGATCATTTGATCCATAATGAAGTAACATGGCAACTGGTAACATGCATATATGTAAAAAAAAAATAGAGGAAAAAGAGCAAAATTGGTCATTATCATATATTCAAGTAACTAAAAGACATGGAATTAACACACGCACACGCGCACACATATATTACACTAACTCAAATTTTAAAACAATTTTTAACCTAAGAACTCTTAAAAGTTAAAACAATTTTAACCTAAGAACTCTTAAAAGTTAAAACAATCAAGCCACGAAAGTTCCAACACAACAGTAACTTAAACATATATTTTCACTTTAAAGAGATTTCAATATTATTCAAGTTATGACAAAGAAGAACTGATCACAATCTTACGTACTTGGAACAAAAAAAAACTATATACTTATTTCTAATGAACCGAGAACCAATTAATAGCGGTAGAGAAAATATATAAGAAACCTTCATAGTGGCATTATAATGAAGCTCAAGTGACTTAAATTAATCATATTATTACAAAGAGAACAATCAAATGAACATAATAATATTGGGACATCAAGAGGATAAGAACTCCTCGGTCATGAACACCTAGTGACCCCTACAAATAGGCATAATTAAAAACTCTTTATCATGTGCGTGTACATGTGAGATTGATGGATTATATCACATAATACAGTAATGAGATTAGTAGGGGATATGAACTCTCCGATCATGCGACTATTTGATTATTTAGAGTTGGATACTATTATTGTACATGTTTTACGTGTATATGTGTTTGATGAACCTAACTAAAATTATTGTGAGACATTGGTATGTCCAAGGTAAGGTTAGTGATCTGTAAAATTTTATTACTAGCAGGTTTGAAATACTGATTTCATTTGATACTCATGTCCATCTTATTTGACTAGGTGTAAAGCGAAAAAATCTTTTGAAATTTCAAAGAAAGGGTAGGGGTTCTTATTTCCATGTCAAGAAGGTTTTACGCACTTGAAATGTCCGCTAACACGCAATTATCCAACGACTTGAAAATTTTATGACTAACTTTGGAAAAATATTTAAAGGAAAATATATTTAAAGTTATTTAGAAAACATAATAATTTAAGATACTTGAAATAATTTAAAGATAAAGTTTTGTCAAAAAATGACTAAGTAAAGAAAGACAATTAAATAAATCACTTAAATAGAAAAATCATTATACCAAAAGATGATTTGTCGATTTAATTAAGTTAATCTAAAAGTATAAGTTGGAATTAAATACAATCAAAAGAAATATACAATAATAATAGAGAGATAAATTTGGGCTTCTGTCCAAATTCAGAGTATTGGGCTAACAAGTTCATTCTATCTTTCTGTCTTAATTCTAAGTAATTCAGTCTTTTAAGACACTTCATTTTGGGCCTAGCCCAATTTTGTTGTATCATTATGTATATAATTACCATATACTTGTTGTATATATTGTATATTGGACGTATATTGATTGTATACAACGCTTGTTTATGTATATTAGCTTATGTTTGCCTTGTATATCAGTTTCTGTTTTCCCATACAAACACGAGGCCGACTCGATAAAGAAAATTAAGACTCTATGACTCAACTCGAAAATGTAAAGAAAAAAAGAAGTCCACAAGACACTCAGATAGACATCACATGCAAACAAGGGGATATAGATTAACATATAATTCAACTAAAATAAACAAAGAAAATAATAAAAGACATGTTGAAAGCACACAATTTTATAAGAGTAATTGAAAGAGAGCAATGATTAATCAATCCATAATGAAGTAACATGGCAACTGGTAACATGCATATACGTAAAAAAAAATATAGAGGAAAAAGAGCAAAATTGGTCATTATCATATATTCAAGTAACTAAAAGACATGGAATTAACACACACACACACACACATATACTAGATGAGTATTGCCCGTGCTATGCACGGGCCCAACAACGTGAATTTTGATGTCATTTATTTGTGTCTAATCTTGCGTTCACATATGTGTAGACTCTAAACAATCATAAAATTTCAAGATTAATCATAAGCTCACAAGCACTGAAATAGTTACTTTTCTAATACTTCCTTTAATATACTTGCAAAATCAAATCCAAGCGTATGTCTCATTAGTTCCTATCTACCATCGTATGATACATGATCAACAATATGTATTTCTACCACTGTTCGTACTTTGCACCATGGACACATAAATCACATATCGATAATGCAAATATTGTCCATTGCGAGAAATATTTCGCTGCTTTGTAATTTACAAATAGCTGCTTACCCTATTCCAAAAAGTGAATAAGAGGTTAAACATATTGAAATAGAAAGCTTTAAACCGATAAAAATTCAAAGGGACATTTTAAAAATACTATGGTAGAAAGAGAACATTTGTGTGTGTGAGAGAGAGACAGGAAGCGAGACAACTTATTAACTCAAATCAAGAAGCAGTGAAAAAAAATCTACTTATATACCCAATAGTCAAGTTATACTCCTTTAGAGGTGACTCAAGGAGGGCACAAAGTCAATAAAGGCCAAAAATCATCACTACAATCTAAGTATACATCAAAAATTTGATTCTTTCTCAAACCAATATAGGATCCTTTCATCATTTAAGAATAAACCAATTACCAATTCCTTACTTTTTTTTTCTTTGATAAGACAATGATGACAAGCAACAACTATATGGAGATGCCAGAAATTAATGCAAACAATGTACAAAAATAATTGATCACACATTGAGTTTCTTATAGTATCACATGTTGCAACCAAATTGACACAAAACAGTTGATGAAAACAAGCATGTGCAGGAATCAATTAAAGAAGAGACCATCATTACCATTCCCTCAGTGGCTATTTGATAATGGTCCATCTTAGATGTCTCAAAATAAATAAAAACAAGCTATGTAAGCACACCATACATTATTGAATTGTTTGGTGTTAAAGAATGATGCAGACAATAAGAACATACCATGATTTTCTATAGTAGATGAGTATGATGTCAATTCCTCCCTCGTGCTTTTATCAACATTAAAAATCGTACCAAGTGATTCATCCTGCACATATTTCACTGTTGAAATGACAGTTTTAAGAAAGTCTATCAGAATAATAAAGGTACCAAGAAAACCATGGATTGTCATTATACATTGGAAAAGATCCAGAAATAATTTCTTGAAAAGTTATTCCACTATATGAACTACCTTCCAAGAGACATCCACCTATGCGATTGTTAGGCTCTTTATTAGGATATCGTCTTTTGTTTGTTGAAGTAATTTTTGGCAAGCTACCCAACCTAAGCATTCTTTCTTCACAGCAACCTTCTGTATCCAGACTTGAGAGAGCACGGTTACCATTGAAATCACAGGCAACTGCTTCAATGCCTACATGGTTCATCACCAGTCTCCTTCGAGTTTGTATCGGTTCCTAGTACACCTTAAATGAATACTGACAAACAAAATTCAAATAAAAATGTGAAATTGAAATTAATTCACAAATACAAAGGAGTGATCTTACACTTTCTTTTTTCTTTTTAGGCAAAACCAACCAGTAAGATATCACTAATTTGATACACCAAAGAACCTGCTTAATTAGACACAAATTAGGTATGTAGACCAACAATAATCCACTTCTCACGAAGAGGAAAATCTATATTTTCCACTTCTTTGTTTGCTTAGGTATAAGGAACACACCAGTCAATCTTTAAACAACCGACTTTAGTCATCAATCTCATTTTTTCAAGTTCGAGAAAATTTCATGTAGTTAATACTTATTAGACTTGCATATAACCTTTCTTGTAAATTAGAAGTGTGCAATAACACTAAAAGCATAAACAAGATCAACTTAGAACACAAGTTGTGTCTACTTTTTTTTTTCTTTTCGAAAAAGTAATAAATCCAACAGCAAAAGAAGCAAAATAACACACCCATATACAAGAAGTATATCAAATGTAGATAACCTTACAAAAGATATATTTTTTATGAATAAATCCGATCTTCTATACATATATAAGAACCTTGTGAGTGCACAAAAAATAGATAAGGGATGAAAAACTATTCTTTAAATGTGCAAAATTCTTCTCTAGTTCATTAAGAACTTTGTCAACATAGTGATAAAAGAGCAACAATCTCATGTTTTGCATTGTTTCCCCGTCTTCTAAAAGTCCAGCTAAACATTTTTTCTTTCACACTACTTGACATCACCAACCCTTCACCATAGATTCAAATCTTTCCCTTTCTAAAACCAAATTAAGTATAAAGGTGAAAAGTATAGAGATGGTACTTACTGGAATAATTGCATCTGCTATCTAGAGTCTGTAATGTTCTTAAGTTGTGATCCTCAGTTTCTCAGCTGCTTATTCAATAAGAATTTTCGTATGATAAACCATTTTTTTCACAAACTGGAAAAACTTTTTCTCATATACCTTTGGAGTTGCTTGTGAAGACTTCCATAATATTGTAGCACAAGCTTCAGGATTGGTCAAAGAAGCACAGACGTTAAAATATGGAAAAGATCAAGATATTTAAGGAAACAATGCAAGAATTGTTAAAACAACAACTACAAAATCCATGCCTCAACATATGTACAATGTGTCCGCATTTTTAAGCTAACACAATATGTTTTTGGTTTATATAGTTAGTTGAGAGTTCATATATTGCTTATATCTCTGCAGGCACAAAAAATATATTTGAACCTGAACGTCTTATTCTTCAGACTATCACATGCATGCTAAGTAGCAAAATAAATTTATGGAAGAAGTACAAATGAACCAAACTTACCTAGCAACATAAAATGCTGAGTTTTCCAACATTAACCACTTGTTTGCACATCCAATGGCAAGTGTTTTGCCTGAACCACCTTTATTAGTTAAAATTGTTATGATTGCAACTCTCAGCCCAAACATTGCCCTTAAATTGGGGGCTATTGGCTCACCCTACATGAAAATATTGGAGGTGATTATAGATTCTACATGACCAAATGTTATCTAATAACACAATATTTGAAAGTCAAGGTAAAGACTCACACCTGACCTAGCTCTTTAGATCTTAAATCAGCAAAAACCCTGGAGTGTCAACAAATGTAACAATAGGAAAGACACTATGATCAACATATTTCATCATTCTCAAAGCCTTTCTTTAGTTGCAAGGCTAAGATTTAGTAGTTATCAATTCATCTTTTTACAAAACTAACCTTGAGGTATCAAATTAAGCAACATTTCTTTCAAACAACTAGACACTACATAGACTCTCCAAAAATCTGATAACTTGAGCAAAAATCAAACTGGGAACATGTTGAGAGGTTATGAGCAACAACTTCAGCCTAACAACTTGTTGCTTAATTAATGAAAAAATCAGTTCAAATTAACTTGTTATTAACCACAGAACAGATTACTTGGAATGCTTAGTGATAGAAATTTGTAATAATGCTATGAATGAGAATTTTTTAAGCATACCCATAGCTCATAAATGGGTTGTCATTGCAAAGTTGATGACCAATGAAGAGATAACTTCTACCTTCAATGCTCCCAATATCACTCACCATGGCTGGATCATCATAGCCAGCACGATCTCCATGGAGCTCTATCCACTTTATGCATAACATAGGATTAAGATTCCTTGAGTTGCACTGTCAAAAAAATTGCTAATAACTATAATGGACAAAAAAAAAATCAACACATATCTTCTCCGTCATATTTAGTATATGATCTTGAACAGTTGGTCTATTAGGGTGTTGAGCAATTTGGAGCCGTTGGATGGGTGTCAAATGAGTGTACAAACCCTTCAGGCTCCGACAATATGCCATATGTATCAAATGGAATAGAAAAGTGTTGGTCAAATAATCATATTTGCATAGGTATCACCAAAATAAGCTAATTTCCTTCACATAATGAACAATACTATATGTAAGTAGACAGATTACCATAAGTTGGTAACATACAAAGAAAACAAATTTTAATTTACCTCTTTAAAATCAGAGTAGTTCAAAACTAACATAAACTATGATAAACATACATACATATATAACCAACTACTTATTGTAAGAGCCAGGTGAATTTTTATGAATTTGTACTTAAATATTAGTTATTTCAATATTTTTCATCTCAAACAAGATGTTAAAACTTGAATCATTAAAACAAGACATGAAATTGAGAACATGAGCAAATGAAATAAAATAACAGAGGATTAGCAAAGGGATCAACACATGTAATGTTAACATGAGACGTGGCAACATTCACTAATGAGGGAATGAGATAATACCAAGTTATGGTACAATTCAAAATATTCAAGGGATTTAAAAGGAGTGCACAAAATCCAAATTTTACTTAAAAGTGTAAGTGAAGTATGAGTTTTTCTAGCTTAGACATTTTCTCAAACACCTGGTGCACGTCAGAAATCAGAAAACCACATATGCATACTCCATTAAATCTTGCTACAAGTGAAAAATAAAATTAGAAAAATGATCATACCACTTAAGTGTCTAGCAATTTATATGTTGGAACAAGTGGTTGTTCCCTTGATCTCTTGGTGTGGTAGGTCAATGAAGCAATTAACGGCTAACTTGGACAAGTTGTGATGTTGTGCTCGTCTTTGTGCGGAACATACACATAAAACAGGTTCAATTTCAGTATATTGCTGGTTGGGCATCCACTGAAGAAATAGAAATATCTATAAACTACAACATTAACAAAATGAAGTAGAGATTAACCCAAAAAATGTATCTTATGCTCTTTAATTTTCCAGCTTTGCCTATTTTTGTGGCATTCTTTTCATCAGAATGTCATTGTTGAAAAAAATAAAAAAATAAAAATCACTTAGCAACCAAATCCAAACTCACGATGCAAATACTTTCGAACAAATTGTAAACTCCATACACCCTTTCTTTTAGCTCTAGATCCATTAACCAAATTCCCCCAAATAACAACAAATTAGCAAAACGATGCACTATAATTTTGATTTTTCATGAAAAATAATAATAAAGAATTGGGTAAAAAAATAAAAATTGAACAGACCTAACGTGTAACCCGCTGTGAAGATGAAGAGAATCAAATAGTTCTTCAGTGTGAAGAGCAATACGCCATTTTTGAAAGCGTCGACTTAGGTTGAGAGAATAATAGAGATAAAGCGTAGACTTACATATTTTTTTTCTAGCTTGGTAAATATTTGGAGCTTATGCTTTATCAACTCTCTTCCTCTTATATGTTGTATGTTTCAAATTGGGATTTTCAACGGAATAGTTGATTTAGCTCATACCCATAAGTTGCACCGCTGGGAAAATAAGGAATTTGAGGGAGAGGATCCAACATTTTGGCTCTAAGGCCATAGCAACTATTAATAATAATAATAATAATAATAATAATAATAATAATAATAATAATCTGGAACTGGAAGCAGAAGAAAGAGGATCTAGAACGATCTAGAATGGAAAGAAAAAGTAGTGTGATTTGCTAAAATATCAATCATGCTAATTAATATTTTACCCTTGTATGATAGCATAATTACGAATATGTCCTTGGCCGTCCCACCTTTCATGTTTCTATATAATAGAAAATAATAATAAAAATAATAATAATAATTAAAAAATAAAAAATAAAAAATAAATAAAATAAAATAAATAAATATATATATATATATATATAATGTGTGTGTGTGTTACACTAACTCAAATTTTAAAACAATTTTTAACCTAAGAACTCTTAACAGTTAAAACAATGAAGCCACGAAAGTTCCAACACAACAGTAACTTAAACATATATTTTCACTTTAAAGAGATTTCAATATTATTCAAGTTATGACAAAGAAGAACTGGTCACATTCTTACGTACTTGGAACTAAAAAAACCTATATACCTATTTCCTAATGAACAGAGAACCAATTAATAGCGGTAAAGAAAGCAAATAAGAAACCTTCATATTGGCATTGTAATGAAGTTCAAGTGACTTAAATTAATCATATTATTACAAAGAGAACTATCAAATGAACATAATAAGATTGGGACAATCAAGAGACAAAGAGGGAATTGGAAGAGGGCAAAGAAAGAATATCAAATAAAAAATATTTTTTAGCTATTGAATTAACAAACCATGGTACTCTAAAAAGGGAATTTTTCACATCGCAATTCAGATAACAAATTTAAATGAGCATGCTCTTATTACTTCTAGTATGCATAAAAGCTTTATTAAGCTATACATTGAATTTTAAATTAATAGCAACTTATCACTAAGACATGAAAATTGAACCAGTAAGAACAAATAATACTCATAACTATCTAATATGCACCAAATAAATCATTTTATAATCATAACGAAAGATTAAAAAAAAGGTAGAGAATAAAGGGAGTAAGTTTTAGTTCTACATTGAGGATAGAAGGGTGATAGTATTAAATATCGATACTTTGACTTTAGACGAAGCAAATCAATATGTTGAAACTTAAATTTATCTAACTCATAATTCTTAATAGAAAACTCAGAACAAATATGCTTACTAGGAGTCTTAATAAATCAAAACATGGTCCTTCTTTGTTACCACTATAAGGATCACTCCTGATTGGCCAAAAACATTGAAGAACAATCAACATGTTTAGCATTTTTTAAAATATGAAATTAAATCAAACAAACATGGAGTTATTTCAGAAGACAACAAAATTTTGCTAGCATATAATTTGAAAAGGGCTGTTAATATTAATGACCAAGTTCGGTCGACAAATTCAAACATCAATTACAAACTACTTACTATTACAAACAAGGCTTGCATATATAGATTATATTAAGCAAAGTTTGAACCTCATTTGGCAAACATAAGGAGACATGGGATGGGAGAAAACTACAATTACAACACCAAGAATTCAAACCAAACAAATACAAATTATTCAAAATAGACAAGCTATGACTACAACTAAATACTTTATACAAGATTAAGCTTACATTGATATAAGACCTCAACCAGTGAATCCAAAGCTACAAAAGAAATTGGTAGAAATGATGACTACATCCATATAAAGAACAAGATTCTGAAGAAAAAATAAATACACAACTCATATTTCATAAAGCAAGTTGGAAACAAAGAAGCAGGAGGAACATTCGAGTTATCCAAAATAAAAGATTCATATAGATAGAATAACATGTGTCACATCAGAACAATTTGGGTCGACTCGAATAAATATCTTTACCAGATTAATACATGTCAAGGTTCAAAATACTTCACACAGATGGACTAATTAACAATAAGCAAATAAACAATTAAATAGCAAAGGCTTACTGAAAATCAACAAAGGGCAAATAGGTACCCCCAATTTAATATCAGTCGGCTCAAAGGAACATGCTTACGAGAAAATAAAAATGTTATCATCACTTTAAAACCCACAAAATCACCTAGAACGGACAGTTAAGTTCAACCAAACAGATGGAGAGGACGAACTCAAACAAAGAATTCACATACTAAGGACTCAACTAAAGAAGAGATTAAGATAGATGAAGCCAAGGAAAAAACTTAATAAAATGCATATCGAGTCATCATACGCCGACATCAAATAGAGAATACAACACACTAAAATATTCAAGTCATATTAAGAGGCATAAGAAGACATTAATCAATATAGGAAGTTGTGATGATCCTTCATGTTATTTTATATGTTTTCTGATCTTTTTAGCATTTAGATCTTTCTTGTTGAAACCACAAATAATTTATGATTTGTTGGGACTTACAATTTGATCGCCTGATTGTTCGTTTGAGTTTTGTGCAAGTTTCCATATTTTGGAGCTTCTAGAGTTTGTACGATTAATTTCGATCAAAACTCCAAGATGATGACCTCAATATGCAACTCTAATGGTTTCGTAAGCTTCTAAACATTGAGCTTGTTCTAAAACAACTCTTCGTGCAGATCTCGAGGCTATTGGGCTCATTGTGAGCCCCTTATGGAATTTGGCTAGAAACAATTTTTGGGTATGAGACCCATTTTTTTATCGAGACAACCTCGGATGAAAGTTTAGCATATTTTATTTGCGTGCATGGGTTTCCAAATGAATCTCAAGCATTCCGTCGGAGTTTTTTCAACTCTAAAGTTTAGTTGATGTTGCCTGTTGCGCCCAAATGCACACGCAAGTGTGCGTGGTTGCACAAGTAGTATAGTTCTTTTTAGAAACGAGTTATCGTTCCCAAGGGACTTATGATCAACTTATATTTGCTAACTTAATTCCACAAATCGACAAGAGAAACTTTAAAAGAGATTGAATGTTGTTTATTACTAATATGACTAATGCAATAAATAAAGTAACTAATGTGAACGACTTCAAATTGATATTTTAAACAAGTAAAAGACAATTTCAGGGCTGCAACATGCGTTGTATTTCATGTATCGTATCTCAGGTAATGAACTAATTTAGGTTATCAAGCCACTAATTTTCAAGGTTAATTATATGATCATGGTCTCCCGACCTCTAAGCGCCTACTCCAATTAGCTGTCTAACTACATCGTTGAGCGGGGATAGACAGTTCTAATTTGTGAGCATTTATATTTCTTCCTGTTTTATAACCAAGCTAGGTGTTCGTCCGGGCGTCACTCCTAAACACAAATCAACTCAATTTAATGGAAGATCAAGCTTTATGTATCCTTTGATCTATCTACCTTAA